CAAAACACACCAATTGGAACTGGACTGGAACATCAGTGGAAAACCAACCGGTCCGACCCGTACCTACACCGACCGCTCCAACACTACACTAAGTTGCACTAGTGGAAAAGGGGCATAATTATCCTTTAAAACACTAATTACAGACAACTGGGTGCAACTTTGTCTTGTGAAAAGATTTTGATAAAGAAGGAAAGCTTGATATCCTGAGCTTGACCAATATTGTTTTCTCATATTGTAACAAGCCCTTCGTCAAGATTAAACAATAAAATCAAGAAAAAATATATTTTTAATGAGTTCTATGGTCAAATGGCATCAGTAGGAACGACTTCATTATGTTACAATCTTGTGATTATTTAAGCATGACTCCTGACTTCATGAGCGTGTTTTTAAAGCTCAGTCTCCCAAAGTTTTTTTTATTATTATTATTAACTTCTAATGGTTCCAGTGGCAGGAAACGCCCATGAAAACCTCCACAGCCCTGATTTTTATCTCATAGCTCTCCGCAGACTTCCCATCAGCAGCCACCACATCTCCTAAAGCACAAACAAACAAGATAAATAAAGGCCCAGCATTTAGCTCTGCCTTTCATGTTAGATTCAAAAGAAAAAAAACTAACTAACACTTCAGACTTCAGAGCCCAGTTTAAGAAAGCAGGATAAGTGAAAATCCAGAGTAAGTTCTGGGGTAACTCTGTGCATATCCTGGGTTTTCAGCTTCAGTAAGCCAGACAGCGGTTATCCTGAGTCAACTTACCCCCACAACTTCCTCTGTGAACCAGCACTGCTCTGYAGCATCACTTTTTATCTGAGAGGACAGAGTCAGACAGGACATGTCCTTTACAGGATCCTGTAAATGTTAGAGCGCTAATACTCAGCAGAAATTTATGTCGGGAGAGAGTGGTAAGACAGCGATTAGACGTCTTTCTGAATGAATCTGTTTGAACATATTTTTAATTGCACAGGTTTCAATATTTTTTTTCAAGTCCAGCTTGTGGCTGTTTCACAGGAAGCTTTAGGGACAGAAAAAATGATCAAATTTAATTTACATTTCTGCTCTTTAATGAAGTTATGATCAAAGGTTTAAATTCTTACAGAAGTATATATCTTTATTTTATTGTATACAGAATTGATTCTTTTTTTAATGAAATAAACTTATTTTTAAAAAAAATTACAAAATAAAGTTGAGCTCCAGAGGTGGCTGGAGCCTCTTCAGTTGATCATTCATCTCAGCTTTTTGTGAAAAATTAACAATCACTCTGATTCACAATGAAAAGTAAAATAAACTTATATATTTAATTTTGGCAGAGAAAAGATAGAGTAATACACATTACCTTTTTTTTTGGTGGGGACACAATCATTTTGTGTGTTGAAGCTAGTTATGTAATTTATTTGCATTGCTGGGCAAAGTTCCTCTAAAGCATTAATAGGGGGACTAATTTTTCTGATTTGTGTTTTAGGRCTTTTGCTAATTTTAAAATTTATTAATGGATTAGCACTTGCTGAATTTATAGGCTAAATTTAGAAGCACTAACAGATCTATAAATGTTATTGATAAGCATTAATGTTAACAGYTGAGGGTGAAAACTGTCACAAATTTTGTTCATTTATGTGTCACTTATCCTCCAAGTGACAATATATGAACTGAAATCCAGCTGTGGAATGTCAATGATAAGTCTTAAGAGAGCAACATGACAAAATGTGACTCATGTTGTCTGTTGAAGAATGTTCATGTGTTGACTGGGTTGTTTTAGTGCTTTAGAATTAGCTGTTACTAAAAATTTCAGTGTGTTAGTGCTTTACAATTAGGGGCCCTAAATATTTGAGTTAGTGCTTTAGGGCTAGTGGAACTAATTATTAGATTAGTGCTGCCCACCACTGTTTATTTGTTAAAGGGTGAACATAACAACTGTGCAGAGTTTGCATGCGTGGGTTTTCTCCGGGTACTCCATTTTCCCCCACCCCTACAAACATGTACAATAGGTTGCCTTCGGTTCCAGGCCTCCCTTGAAAAAGAGATCTGAGATCTCAACGGGACTTGTCTGGTTAAATAACGGAAAATAAAATAAATAAATAAATAAATAAATAAATCAAAGCTTATACCTGGGCCTTACTTGATTTTACCATGTTTTTATATTTAATCTTTATTTGCTGCCATGTCCATTTAGTACCAKCTGKGTTCACCTACACACACACACATAATGCACACACACTCACTTTTATTCACTTGAATAAAGAATAAAAGTAAAAATAAATATAAAGAATAAAAGTTTAGATTCAAGTAAAATTATAATCACGCTTTGACTTGATCAGCAATTCTCAGCCAAACTAACTCTCTTTCTCTTGCAGCAGCAACAGGATTGCTTTTTTATTTTAATTTTTTAAAATATATGTTGATATTCTCCATATGCCGTTATTAATATTTTTAGTTTCAGTGCGAGAAATGGACTCCCGGTCTTYTTATTTTCTCCTGTTGCCATGGTGAATCGTGTTATTCTCATGTTGGATTTAAAGAAACAATTGCTTTGGGACACACCCCAGAAAAGGGGCGGGGTCACACCCCAGAAAAGGGGAAGGGTTTTTACAATAAGGAGGAATTCAGACTAAAGCATTGCAGCTCCACTTCATACAGACCCAAGTGAAGGCTTTAATGGCTGTGTCCAAAATGACAGGCCCGGTCCTCCGGAGGCCGAATTTGTCGGCCGCATCGGAGGAGTCTTCGGTTTGGGATGTCCTTTGTCGCGGCGCTGTGATGTATCCGGCCTGCCGTTTTGGACACAGTCAGCGTTTCATTGTAGGTTTTAGAAAAGTGAAATTTGAGTSTCCTCTATCTATTTTTTTTTTCACAAATGGTTTCCTTTGTCCCCTTCTCAAACTATCTGTCTTCTTGGTTCAAAAAATGAACATTATATTTCAGAGGGTCTTTTATCTTTTAGACTGCAGTGGTGTTGGTCYTGAACGGCTGACCTGCATGGTACCAGAAGGAACCTGACATAGAACATGCTGAGAAGAACTCTCACATACTACCACTCCAACCTTTAGCTGAATATCTTTAAATCTAACTTAGGTGTAAGCTTTTGTGTTGACTGCATCGACTGTGGCAGGCATCTTGAATTGAATTAATTGGGTGGCTCCAAACATTCATTTTATATATAATTACTCTCTGACAGTTTCATTTAACTCTGTCCACTATTTTCATGAGATGTTTTGCTAACAGACAAACACATCAGTGCTGCTTTGCCTTTGGTGACAGATGAGCAGTGGGACGATTCTGGAAGTGTTAGCTTTCAGAATCCAGACATTTATCCTTTTCCTCGGATAAATTCAACTTTTAGCTGTTTGACTTTTGTTAAAGAACAAATTGAACTGTCAAACATATTCCTGTAGAACACGTGTCAAACACAAGGCCCGCGGGCCAGACGCGGTGACTCCCGTGTGGCCCGCCAGTAGGGGGTCCCCTCCCCCCCAAAAATTGTACTTTTTTTTACTTAACATGAAATTTGTTTCTTATATCAATGGTAAACTTTAATTTTATGGTTAAATGCAACAAATTTAATTTAATAAAAATAAATTAAATAAAAATAAATTAAAAAAATTCCTGTCCCTGAGCTGTTGGCTTGAAGTAACTGGGTAATTTAGTTGGATAGCACAGTACTAATGTCTGAAAATAAGCTGCTTTAAAGTCGCCATCAAACATGAACTAAATCTGCCATAATGCAGCTACTCACTAGAAACTCATCAGTGAATAAAACCTTTTTTGTTTTACTTTTAATAATATTTCTGTATTTATTACAGATTTAGTCAGTCATACACTTAGTTCTTATCAGTGTTTAAAAGACGACGTGTTAAAACTCTGTTTAGTCAAAGGCTACGTTCACACTGCAGGCAAATCCGAACCAAATCCGATTTTTTTGACCCATCTGACTCATATCAGATTTTTTTATGACAGTCTGAACGAGACAAATCCGATTTTTTTCAAATCCGACCCAGGCCGTTTCAGTATGTGGTTTTAAATCGGATATATATCTGATGTTTTCAAAGTGACTGCAGTGTGAACGCTCATGTCACATTCATCTGACTTTTTCATCAGGAGGAGGGGGTGAAGGATCGATAAGACACTAACCTCAAGTCTCGCTGTTTAAATCTGTAGCTCCGTGTGTTTACAGCTCCAAAACACAAGTCCAGTTGCTTCATCTTTTTACTTTTCATTAGTATGATAATAACGATGTCCAGCCTGGGTCGCGGAGAGTATTCATCCTAAAGTTAGATACTCAGTCGATACTTTTTTCCAGCTCGTAGTTTCGTTCAAAAAAAAAAAAAAACCACTGGAGCATCCCGGTCAGAGGCAGCTTCAGATATAAACACTGAACTAAAGAAGCAGGTCAGATAATTATTTAATCGGCTCTGATTAAACAACAACTTCAGATTCGATGTGCAAAATGTAGCATCCATGCTAGCTCTGTAAACAAACAAGCCGGCTGATGAGACGTCACGTCTTTTACTGCGCATGATGTCACATCAGTGCTGTGGAGCGTTCACACAGGAGTCTGATGCAGGTCACATTTAAAATGTAATGTGAACGTTCACACAAAAAGATCGGATTTTTTCAAAAAATCGGAACAGAGCATTAAGACCTGCAGTGTGAACGTAGCCAAAGTTAAACATGAAACATCAAAGTTCATTACAAGTGGCCCTTCGAGGGCCACCATAACGCTCATGTGGCCCTCGGTGAAAATGAGTTTGACACCCCTGCTGTAGAACATGAAGGTTCTAAGTGTTTGAACACTCAGATCCTCAGCCTGGACTTGTGTCAGACTGTTAAAAGTGACATGACGTGAACTCCACGCCACGCTGACTCTGTAAATGTATACGAACTCTTCCTGAGATCAAACCCCATCAGGGCCGACGTGACCTCRCCCTGCGCCCCCTCGAGTCACGGACCATTTTAGAAGCACATTGTTTCGAAGCTTCCCTTCTTATTTAAAGTGTCCCTGCAGCAGAGAGWCCTGGAGCGGTGGGATTGGACCGGTCTGGATCGGCCCCTGCTTTCTCCTGATAAGGGAGGAAAGGGCAGTTCTGCTCTGCAAACACTGGCGGAGCAGCACACAGGCCGGACACAGCCACTGTGGGAGAGCTGCCGAGGAACAACGGTGCAGCCAAGGAGACCGCAGAAACACTCTGCCCCCAAATCCCCAACTCTGCCCTGAGACCGCGGGGAAAGAAGGGCGCACAAAAGCATTCTTCGCTTTCACTCTACAAGTTAAAGAACAAAACACAACAATACGCCGGGCGAGATCCTTCCCTCGGAGATCCAAATTCAAGGAGAAAGGCGTGACAGCGCAGCATCACAGTGGGATTTGGAATCCGTGCAGCATCTCCAAACCCAGAGAGAGAGAGAGAGAGAGGCTGGAGGTGCACGAAGGATAAACTCATCTGGAAGAAGAAAGCAACAGAACCAGGATGAGAGCTGCTGGAAGCATCGCTTGGCTGCTTCTTTCTCTAAGTGAGTACCTGTTCTGATCCAAACACTGTTTGTTGCTTTAACAGACCTTTACGTTCTGTTTTCAAACCAGAAAATATCAGATCTGATGTGGATCTGAAGCTTGGTGGCAGCAAAGATCTTAGACGTTGAGAGGAGTAGCCACAGGTGCTGGAACATGAGCCGGTTCAGACTCAGATAAAACCCACCTCTGCACAGCAGGAGAACCAAATTGCATTTTAGACATTTTAGAATGTAGTGAGTTACGAAATCTGTAAAATTCTATGTACTCATCATGACATATGTAAAWACAGTGCAGCGGGCTGAGGATTAGGGTCTTCAGCTGATGTCTAACCTGTTTCCTGAACCAGAGGCGGGTCAGAGGGTCCAACTCTGAGACACACTGGTGCTGTTGTTCAGAGGAAAATAAGTCTTTTAACGAGGACTTTTACAGTTTTACATCAGGTCGATATCTCATTTCTGGCTTCTTGCTTTGGCACGTTTGTTTGTTTGTTCGAACGAAAGAACGAACGAAGGAGCGTTCGCTCGTTTGTTCGCTCACTCGTTTGAAATGTCATATCGTTATATTTTTAAGTAACTTCAAACTTGAGTTAGAACAGGTTGTGTTTCACATGTCTGACATCCTGGTTGTTGTGTTGAACAGTTAGGTGATGCATGGGTTAATATCATATGTACAGCAAAAGTACAAAACAAATAGGTAAACAGCTGAAGTTAAATGACCACAGATGATGTCATGGCTTAGGAGGCTGCTAAAAGGTTCGCGGATAATTTGTGTTAGAGGGAGGGAGGCGGGTTCTGTTCTCCTCTGATGAACCTGTCGTGGTGCGAAATGTGCAAATAAACCCCAAAACAAAAGCAGAAGACTACGACGGCGTATTAGGGCCACTTTGCAGATGAAAAAAAAGGAGGAGCAAATCTCTGAGAAAAAAACTCAGAATTTGTGAGATTAATTTCAGAAAATTTTGAGAAAAAACAGACAATTCTCTTATTTTGAAAAGTGGCAAATTTGCATGAAAAAAACTCCGAAATTTCCATAATTAAAGGCAGAAATTTGCGACATTTACACTACAGGTAGATATTTTCTGACATGGTAAAGTCAGACATTTAGAAGAAAAAAAACTCGTAAATTTATGAGAAAAAATCTGAAGTTTTCAGGAATGTCTAAACGGCGATTCCACCTGTTTTCACTACATCTTTAATCTGCTCTAGTTTAAAAACTAAAACACAGAGAGACTTCAAACCTGGACTAGATTATTCTGCACTGATTACAGAATGTTTAAAACCAAGTGTGTGATTTGTGAAACATACATTTGTTATGTGAAGCTTAAGGAAATATGGTGATTTCAGCACTTTTCATGCATTTTATACGCCCTCGTAGAAGACTCGTGAAGATGATGCTGAAGCTGCTTTGAATCATTATCCATGCAAAAATGACTCTTMAACCACCAGGAAGTGAGGAGGAAGCCATTACTCTGAAAGCAACAAAAAACCCTGAATGTATTTGAAACATGTGCAGAGGTRCAAAGACCTTCAGTTTAAAGACATGTCCTGCTGTCGGAGGAAATTGAGGAGTTAACGATCACTGTTTGGAGGGAAAGATGGGGAAATATGAAAGTCTAGAACACCATCCTAACTATGAAGTACAGAGGTGGCAGCGTCATGGTGTGGGRTGTTTTTCTGCTGGGTGTGGTACRCTTTACAAAACAGATGGAMTCATGAGGACAGAATATTAAAGATTGTCTTAAGATGTCYGGCAGAAGATRGAAAARTAGCTTAAAGCTAACAGAGTCAGTGTTTTGGAGCGACTGTCCTCAGTCTCATRTCTGTGGGTAGAGATGAAAAGGTGAGTTTGAACAAACCAGACTCAGTTATCAGGAGGACCAGGATAAACTTTAACCACTGTGAGAAATGTGTGAAAGGAAACACATTTGACTCTAACTAACTAACTCTAAAAGCTACCAAATACTGAAAACATGAAATT